CCTGTTTTCCTGGACCCCTCCCTCACCACCTACTTCATCCCTTCCCTCTGGCCCCAGCCTGCCTTCAGGAAAGGTCTGTCCACTGTGACCTTCGGCCACTGACCGAAGCTGATCTGGAAGTTTTCAGACCCACATTCAGCAGCTTTTCTTTTGGACTCCATTTCAAAGGAAGAAGACATACTTTGTTTTTCAAGCCATTTTCACCCCATCCAAAATGAGCCCCTGGGCTGGCGGTAGGAAATCCATATCTAATACCCCTTGCCCCAGCCCCGTGAGGTCAGGGTTCACAGCAGCTGAAATGACTTTTTGATCGATACATACAACATCCTTCCTGTGTTTTCAGAGAACTTCAAGCACGTCACTACCAGGAAGGTGGCGTGGGATTGTCTCATGGGAAGAGTGCAAATCACAGAGCCAATGCAGCAAACGTTAAATCCTCAATAGCAAACTTTTCAATTAACCGAAAAAGTGGTGACTGATGTGTCAAAACTATTTTTTTAAGTATGTTTTTATTGATTTCAGAGAGAGGAAGAGACAGGGAGAGATAGAAACATCAATGATGAAAGAGTCATCAATCGGCTGCCTCCTGCACGCCCCTAATGGGGATCAAGCCCGCAACCCGGGCATGTGCCCTGACCTGAAATCAAACCCAGACCTCCTGGATCATAGGTCGGCACTCATCAGCTGAGCCACACCGGCCGGGCTCAAAACTATTTTTTAACTGAATCAATGCCTATGTCATATGACATAGAAGTATAGGCTACTTTATGGCTATATATATGGCTCTATATATATATGGCTCTGCCCTCACAGAGCTTCCATTCTATTAGGGAGACAGGCACTAAAGTATTCACACTGTATATTTTCTTCCAGCAGTTATGACAATATTCTGCCATAAATAACACAAGGAAATAGTAAAATAATGTAAGACATAGTAAATGATGTTTAAGATGCTTTAAAATAATGCAAGAAAATGTTAGTTCAAGAATAGTACTTAAAAGCAAGAAACAATTTTATGAAGCACATGATCTCATAAATTTTAAAAAAGGTATAGGAGGAAAAGTGAGTGGTTGTAAAACCCATCTATAATAATTGAGTGGCTAAGAAAAATTTTGACAGGAATTTCTACTCCCCAATAGGGAAATATTTATTTCCAAGCTACAATAAATAGTTTAACGAGAAGTGGGGTGAGAATCAATTAATTGACCTCACGGGTACAGGACAAATACCTGTACAAGGGTCTGTTTCTAAACTAATACTTTAGAATACGGTTTTTTAAATGTTTCAAAAGTAGCATTTAAACCAGTCAGAAAAGGGTAAACTAGGTAATAACTAGCAGCTTATGTATTTAGAAAAATGAACAAACTTAGACCTTTACATCACATCATAAATTCCAAATGCAGCATAATAATATAAATCTCACTGGTAAAGCTGAAAAAAATACATATATTTTATGGAGTAGTAATTCAAAATGTCATTAAATGACAAATTATTAAGTTTTCAAAACAATTCCAAATGCATTTCAATGTTAAAACTTAAAAGCCATTAAATGAAATTTAGAAAACTACTAAACTGATTTTGGGTAGGCAGGCATTTTAAGTATAAAACAAAAACCATTTTAAAAGACAAAAAGTTGACAGTACTTATTTATTTAAGTACATTTTTTCCATTGCTTTTCAGAGGGTGGAAGGGAGAGAGAAATACTGATGTGAGAGACACACTGACTGACTGCCTCCCACACGTGCCCCAACCGGGGCTAAGGACTTAGCCTACAACTGAGGTACGTGCCCTTGGCCAGAGTTGAACCCGGGACTCTTCAGTCCTTGGGCCGACGCGCTAACCACTGAGCAACAGTACATATCTAAAATAAATTTCTACACAGAAAAAAAAAATCATGACATGTATCCCACACCATAAATAGAGTTATCACACAGTAAAATAGTCCAGTGACCAGCAACCAACAGGGAAACACGCTTGCAATGTGCCGCAGCTAAAAGGTTGGTATCTGCATACATGGTGTGTCCTACAATTGCCAAGATATAAACATCCTGATAGGAAAACGTGCAAAGGACACGAACAAAATTGATGGAGAAATAAAAAATAAGTATATTTTAAAATAGTCAACCATATTAGCGATAGAAATGCTAGTTTAAAATTGAATTCCAGCCCGGCCGGGCGTGGCTCAGCGGTTGAGCGTCGACCTAGGATCTACTAAACTGATTTTGGGTAGGCAGACATTTTAAGTATAAAACAAAAACCATCGCCTAGGATCTAGGCGATCGGGGTTCGATTCCCAGTCAAGGCACATACCCAGGTTGCGGGCTCCATCCCCAATGACTCTCTCATCATTGATGTTTCTGTCTGTCTGTCTGTCTTTCTCCTTTCCTCTCTCTGAAATCAATAAAGATATATTTAAAAAAAAAAAATTGAATTCTATGTTTCACTAATCAGATGAAAAATGACAACGTCCAACACTGGGAAAGAGCCGATGAAATGTACCCAGCGTGGAGATGGGAACACTCTGTTGAGAAGGCAACTTGGTAACTGTATCAAAAGCCTTATTCAAACGCTTAGATTCCATAATTCTAATTCTACTCGTAAGGTATGTGTCTAAAAATAAATAAATAATCAACGTTTCACACAAAAACAACGACTGAGAACTAAGTGTCCACGTTATGAAGCTGGATAAGTAACAACTCTAAAACGCATTACTGTGCAGCCAGTACAAAAACTTAAGTTCTCAAAGCATGTCTGATGAGCTGAGAAAATTTCACAAATAGCCCTGGCCGGGTGGCTCAGCTGGCTGAGCATCGTCTCGTGTACCAAAGGCTGCAGGTTCAATTCCTGGTCAGGACACGCACCCAGATTAACGGTTCAACCCCGGGTCCCGGCGCAAACAGGAAGCAACAGATCGATGTTTCTCTCTAACATCTCTCTCTCTCTCTGTCTCTCTCTGAAATCAATAAAAACATATCCTCAGGTAAGAACTTAAAAAGAAGAAAAGTTCACAGAGTAAACGAAGAAAACAGGGTCTATGTCTATAGCACAATCATAATTGTAAAAGATGTTTATACAAATATGTAGACACAAGGTGAGCAGTGGTGCTCAGGTACAATTAGAGATTTCAGTTTTATTTTTCTTTTATTTTCCTCCTTATGCTTTTCTAAATCAAAAAAATTTAATGAACATGTATTATATTAACAATCAGGAAAATATCACTTAAAAATATCTAAAGTAAATGCACCAAATTAACACAAGATGGTAAGACCGGGGGACAACTCTTCTTCCCTCTCCTTTAACTTATCCATAGTGAGCAAAGGATAAACTCTTAAAAAAGACCTAGCATGCTGACTGTCCAAAGTTGACTGATTAAAGGCGGGAGGGGGTGGAGAAAAGGTGGGAAAGCAATCAAAGGCCTGACAGATGGACAGGACAGACAGGACGGACAGGGAGGAGGATGCCCCCAGCAGGGCCTCAGCCCACTCACTCCTCAGCACCACAGAAAGGCGCAAGAATGAGAACCGCCTCGGAGTGCAGTGCCCTGCAAACAACATCCAACTTCTGTTACACTCAGGCAGGAGAGAGAAGCAACTGCTCAAAGACACACAACAAGCCGTGACCATCTGCGAAAGAGAAAGGAAAATGCCGAAGCCATTCCAAAAATAAGTACAGATGCAGAGTATCTTGCTGTGGCCTCATCGCCCACTATCTATGGCCACTGGTATCAACAGAGAGAGTGCAAATCTCAGGGCCAGAGGCAGATGCCCCACCACTGGCTGAGCTGGGCTTGGGGACTCAGAGGCCACAGAGCTACCCACAGGGCTACCACCGCATGCCCTCCCACTCATCATGTCAGCAATGGGAGAAGGCTCTTTCCACGCAGAGGCACCTGCTAATTCTGAGCTGGCTCCCGGGCCAGAAGCTAGAAGTTCGGCAGTCAGGGGAGAGCTTGGTGATCAGGCTGGACTTCCACCCCCGGCTGCTTCCCAAACTGAGGAGTCGCAGTTCTACAGAAAGGAACAGCCTGTGTAAAACAGCCACTAGCACACCGCATCTCCCTGCAACCAGGCGTAACCCACAGAACTCTGTGTCCCCTGCCCTCTGCAGCTCCCCTGCAACCCAGCATGACCCCCACAAAATCCCCTCCCTTCTGCTCTACCCAAGTAACAGTGAGCGGCAATTAATCACTTAGGCGACTCAGGAAGGAAGGGCAATAAACACATTCACATAATCACACAGAAACCACAGAAATGCCACTAGTGAGAACACTGATCCACGGGCCCTGATAAAGGGAGTCAGAAATTAAAACACCATCCTATCAGGCACTTCACATATCTTCATTCTTTTAAGTGTCACAAAATTAAAACTTCCCATTTTACACATGAAAACAGTGAGGCTCAGAGAAAAAGAAAAGGCAGCTCAAAGTCACAGAGCTTGGAAATGCTAGAGTTGGAATTAAACTCTGAAGCCCAGGACACAGTGAGATGTCCTGTTCCCGTGGCCACAGGGACTTCTGTCTGGCCCATGTGGAATTGGCCCCAATACTGCCTTAGGACAAGGCAGTCTTCCTGCCACTGCCAGGCACAGCTCCAGAACAACGAACAACGACACACCTAGTACACCAATGTGTTTAATCTACATCCAGGAAAGAACATCAGCCTGGACATCAGCCGAGGTCACAGTAAACAGTAATTATGACAATGCCGCAATCACTGAGCATCTGTCTTGTGGAGGGCCTGTGCAAGCAATGTTACCCATATTTGGCCTGAGTAACAACAGAGTTGATGTGTCCATTTTTCAGATGAAAACACTGAGGCTCAGCGAAGTCTCAAAGCTAGGAAATGGAATTGAACTGATACCACAGCCTCCTTCCTAACCCCCACCTCTCCTACTGTGATGAGATAATGAAACCCAAATAGGTGGTTTAGGTCAACTCCCCCTTCCTCCGGATGGCCTGCCCAGCCCGGGGCTCTGCCCTGGCCCAGTGCTCTGGCCACTACCTTGGTTGAGGTAGGTCAGTGTCTCTTCATGCAGCTTCACGGCTGGGGATGTGGCAGCACACAGGACGTACTGCAGGGGTGGCAGGCGGGTCTCGTTCTCAGGGGACAGCTGGGGCTCCTCCTGCTTGAAGATGGGCAGAGCGAGCACATCACTGCAACACACAGAGGGAGCGGTCAGGACCAGAGGCCAGAGCCCGGCTGCAAAGACAGAGCCGCACTGGGCGAGGCGGGTGCAGACCCCGTCCTCAAGGGCAGCCCAGCAAAGTACAGGGCCCTGTGCTGGGTCAGCTTCCCACACCTCACCTCACAGATACTTCAGACAGAGCAAACCAACGTGATGATTCTTTCTCCCGATGACCCTCAAGGGATTTATTCAATCAAACCATTAATAAGGTAAAAATGCAAAGTCATTTAATGCCTACAAATTATAGAAATCTTCTCTGTGACAATGGGACTCACAGCAATGAAGTGAACCTTAGATGCCATACGGTTTCCACACATAAAAAAGGCATTATAACATCTTGCTTTTAGAGTAAGACTCTGAACAAAGATTTTAATTGCTTAAATAAACTATTCTATATATTAGCCACTTCTCAGAATAATATACCCCTGTCCTTGGGGCTCTGTAAGCTACACAAATACAGAAACTGTTTGCTTCACTCACCCAGGTGGAGACATCCCCCCACCCTTTAAAAATAAGACAGCTGACCCATGACCCCTATGTTAAGGGTCATACCAATATCTCCTAAATGCAAAACAAGAAGGACCTTGGTTTCAATTCTGTTTTCTTATCCAAGTGGAAAGTGGTAAGATCCTCAAAGATTCTTTTCCCCTACCTTGGAACAAAACTCCCCACCATATCCAAAAAAAAAAAAAAAATCAGCCTCATGTCATCCTACGCCTGGAGAACTTGTTTCTAGATGTATTCTGAAATGCCCTTGCAAACTAACAAGAAACCCTTGAGAGCATGAATGACCTGTGGGCAGAGGCTTGCTCAAGACCTCGACATTATGAGCAGCACGAAAACAGGTGCCAGAAAAGCGCCAGTGCCCTTATCTTGATGGCCCTCCTCCCTGCGCGGGGTTATGAATTGGATTCACTGAGCCGGCTTCGCTGTATAAACAGCAGTCACTGGTACAATCTGTTCCTCATCTAACACAATAAACGAACGCCTCTAAAACAACCCAGCACACACCCCAACAATGTCTAACAATTCTCAGGAGGAAAAGTCAGGCTTGGAGCACACCTCCCTGGGGGCACCTCCCCTGCCCCGGTCCGTGGCCCAGACACCAGAGCGGGGGGCCGTCTTGGCTCTCCGCACGCCGCCCCTTTCTTGACCAGGCTGGGGCACACTCGCAGCCCAAGTGGTTATCTAGGAACAGAGGAGGCGGTAGGCCTGCTCACCTGGGGACCACATAATTTCATGTTTGCCCAAACCATGTAAGTTAATAATCCACGGGCTGCTGCCTTTAAATAAAAAAAAAAGGGGGGGGGGGTTAGGGGGTAAGAACCATCACTCAACAGTAGCTTGTTTCAAGCCTGGCAGCCTTATTTGCCCAGGGATAAAAGTCACGAGAACACCGAACAGAAAAGTAAAGGCCACTATCCTGGTGAGGTCAAACAGCTCACGGGAGCTCTGCAGTGGGGAGACAACCAAACATAAAATATACAGCCGAGGGGGACAGACCCTCACGCTAGAGGTGAGGGGGTGGGGGCATATTCACCAACCCCCGCCCTGGCGGTCATTGAGGTCGACTTTTACAAGGTGAGAACCCCAGCTTCCAAGAAGTGAAATTTAAAAAGGGCATGGACCAAATGCTTCTTTATCCACGGACCCAAAATGACCCCAGAAACCACTATGAGTCTATGGCACCTTTCGCCCCAACCCGCCCCCCATGCCCCTGCCCAATGCAATACCAAAATCCTAAAAGGTACCTCAGGTGTTCCAGACAAATTTCCATCTCAGCAGCAGAGGCACCTCCCATGCAAGGGGGGAATTAGTCTCTAAAGGGATGGCATTTTAGGTATCCAGGAAGTTATAAATACACTCACCCTCCATTCAAGGTCACCTTCAAAATCATTTTTAAGGTATGGCACACACTTAATGGCCACAAACTAAAACTTATGCAAAACTACACCTAAAACGGCATCATGCAGTGTAATAAAGGTGTTGGAGCATTTTGTGTAAGTGAATGGATGATTCGTCTTCCGCCGGGGGTTACCACCTGCCTGGTGGGCTTCTGACATCCCCCAGCAGCTTCCCTGGGTGACACCACCAAGGTCTGCAGGAGGCAGGCCATGGGTCCTTAGTTAAGACCCTAGACTCGGCCGTCCCCCTTTACTCTGGCCACGAATGGAAACAGCAGACACATCAACTCAGTCATTCCTTTACCTGCTGGGAGGGGGGGTGTCGTCAAGAGGACTACTGGACAAACATCTGTCAGAAACCAGGCTTTACAAATAACCTGTGCTGTTAAATCTGGGTGGACACTTCTTGGAGAGAAAAAGCGGCTCCCGCTGGCTCTCAGCGTGGGGCTGTCGGGCAGAGGCGCCCTCGGCCTCGCGGCCCACCCCCGGGCCTGCACCAATGCCGTTTGGCTTAAGTTGGGCACATTTCATAAACTGTGCCTAGGACGGGCATGAAGGCTGGCGAAGGCCGTTGGGGCGAGCTCGGGAAGGGAAACGACCGTGCAGCCCGCCGGCGGGGGCCCTCGGGGCGCGGGCCGCCTCCTTCAGGGAGGGGCGAGAGCTTCGCGCACGGGCGGCGCTCACTCTTCCCGCGGAGGAGCACTAGTCAGACCCCTGCAGAAGCGAGCCCTCCGTCAGGGGCGAGGCAGGGGCC